TTCTTTTAAATATGGGTGGTAGAAACGTCAAAGCCGCATGTGTAGTTCTCACTGGATTTGCACTGGACAGTGCTGGTCCTGAAGTAACAAAGCAATTTCCCAGCTCATTCCCGGGGAGGGAAAGGAAGTTTAATGGAAAGAAAGAATGAGGAAATCCCAATGTAAACTTAAATTCTAATATATTCTTATATATTGGTCTTTTCGAAACGGTCTCCCTGTAGCCCCAGCTGGCCTTGAACTCACAGAGATCTGCCTGCCTCTGCCTCCTGAGTGCTGAGACTAAAGGTGTGCACCACCACGCCTGGCTCTTTTACTCTATATTTGATGTTTGATTGACTGAGATTGTTTGTTTGTTTTGAGAGAAGGTCTCAAGTAGCCCATGCTAGCTTTGACTCACTATGTAGTCAAGGCTCTTCTAGACCTCCTGTCTCCACCTCTTGATTGCTGGATTTCAAGTATGCGCCACATTGCCTGTTTCCTACTGTATTTTAAAAATACATTTGGTTTTCTCTTTAGGGCTTAAGATCAAACTCACAGCCTTACATGTGCTAGGCAAGTACTCTGCCATTGAGCCACATTCCATCCTTGGGGGTTTTGTTTTTATTTTTGTTTGTTTGTTTTTGTGACGGAGTTTGGCTCCATAGATCAGGCTGACCTCAAGCTAGCAATCTTCCTGCCTAAACTTCCTGGGTGCTAGAATTACAGTCCCGTGCAAGCATGCCCAGCTAAAAGCACTGGAAAACTGAGGATCAATAACAGGATTCCCAGTAAAGTCTATGGTTCAGTTAAGAGCATTATCCCAAATTCTTAGTTTTGATCAATGGTACCACTGTGTGTATGCTGTTAACATTAGAGGAATTGGATGATTACAAGGACCCTTGCAATTTTGCTATAGATTCAAACTATTTCAGGATGAAAGTTAAACATCAACAGAGGAAATAGTAATCTAACATGATCTGTATTTTTCCAGTGCACTTTAAAGCAATCAGCTTCAAGCCCAGAGTACTTCTTGTAAACAACTTTTCTAGAAATAAGCATCAAGAACAGTATTAAGGATCAGATTTTGTAGTCTTTACCTGAAATTCCATCAATTCTCAGGGCTCGTTTCTACCACGTTGAGGTCGCTGCACATGTAGCCGATTTTTTTGGGGGGGTGCGGGGGGGGTCTGAGGAAGATGGTTATTGTAAGGAACAGAAAAAATTGCAGAGACTGTCAGTCACTGAGGCCTTGGAGCATACAGGCCTTAAAGGCCTCCAGGCCTCACGTCACCACTGAAGCCGTCCTTCAACCACAGCTTTCATCAACAGTGGGTCAAAAGCTTTTGCTAAGATCCAGTGGTAAATCTTGGAATAAAGCAGGGCGTGGTGGTGCACACCTTTAATCCCAGCACTTGGGAGGCAGAGGCAGGCGGATCAAGAAGACAAAAAAAAAAAAAAAAAAAAAAAAAAAAAAAAAAAAAGATGTCTCACTCCTGCACATGAATAGATAAATAACCACTTTCAAACAACCCCACTGTTTTCTCTGGAAAAGAAAACCATGCCATAAGCAGAAAGGATTAGGACATGAATTTACAAGAGACTGAGTACTGGAGAAATAAACAGAATAACCTTTATTATTTATTTCTTTATTGTGTATATGTGCACACATGCACAGGTATGTTCTCAATTTCTGGGTTTTGTGGGGATTTTGTTTATTTGTATTTTGTTATTGGGTCCTGGTTGACATGAACTCCCCATGTAGACCTGGCTAGGCTCAAACTCCTAGAGATCTGTCTCCATCTGCTTGCTGAGAGCTGGGATTAAAGGTGTGCCCCAGCACACCCAGTTTTTGTGTGCTTTGGAGTGTGTGCCATGTGGAAGTCAAAGGACAACTTTTTGGAGTCCATTCTCTCCTTCCCCCATAAGTTGTTGGGCTTGGCAACAAATGCCTTTACCCACTGAGTTATCTCACTGGCCCAGAATGACCTTTATAACAGTAGTCAACAAGGCGAAGATGAGGACATACCGGGTGTAGACACCTGAAACTACACTTCTGACTCACACTTCTCCCTTGCACGTTTTCCACTGAAAAGTAACCAAAACCAGGACAGGTGCCTCCCTCATCTTCCCCAAGCCCGGCTGACACCCAGAAACATGATGGATCTCAAAATGACTATTTTACAACACCTCTCCTCATCTTCAGAATGATCCAGAGCATTTACAAAGATCTGGGAACAAACCTGGGTTCTACTTGATTTTTGTACATCGGTAAATCACTTTTGGGAGTGGACATGAGAGCTATTGGAGCTCCAAACATGTTTTGGTTTAGTAGAAGTGTGTGATAGCTTGCTGGGGTGATATTAACACAGACATAAATATTTCTTAAGCTCTAAGCACATGCTTACAAATGAATGCATTTTGTTGTAAGTTGTATAGTGCTTTTACATATATTTCAAACTTGAATCATATGCTTAAAGATGGCCTTTTATTACAAGTTGATAGTGTTTTTATAAATATTAACAAGCAATTTCCATAAGTACATGATATACTTATTTTAAGAGGAAGAAAATTATTCATATAAATTGACTTGATGTTGTTAGGAAAGCGGTTGAACTGCTTACAACTTCTGTCCTGGGAATTTTAAACCTATACATGATGGTCAGAGAACCCTCCCTTTTTAGAATCTGTGGGATCTCTATTAGAAAAGTCTTAAGCACTTCTAAGGGAAAGCTACACAGTCAATCTTAGCATAGTGTTTTATTTTTAGAGCTAGTGTCTCATGTAGACCCAGACCCTAGACCATGCAATGGTGCTGTCCATATTTAGGGTGGATATTCCTCTCCCAGTTAACCAAATCTAGAAAATCCATCACAGACATACCTAGAGATTTGTTTCCAAGGAGATTCTAGATCCTGTCAAGCTGACAACTAACATTAAAAAAAAAAAAAATCAGACCATGTAATCAACTATTCCCCTATTAATGTAAAACGTCAAAAGTCCCTGGAAAATACCATTGCCATGATCATCTTTGGATACATGCTTTTGTTTAAAGACTTTATTAGATAAGAACCTCTGCAGAGAAAACCATTGATCTGGACTAAATGTGTTCCAAAGTTCTTTCCTACTAGAATTTTATGATTTTAAAACTTCTGTGATTAATTTTGCTACTGCCTCTAATCAGTTTTTCAAGATGGTCTTCCTTCAATCCACCTACAAAAATCCAGTGCCTTCCACAACTATCTAGATGCTACCCAAACCCTAGAGTCCTCGAAGAAATACTGAAAACATCAGCCGTGTCCTCCCTGACGAGTGTCTTCTGGTACACACAGTCGCTCTCCAATGTAAAACGTCTTTCCAGAAAGCTGCTGTTCTGCTTATTGAATTGTTTCCTTCTAGAGATATTTAATTGTTTCTGTTAGACATCAGAGCCAAGCCAGGCTAGGCACTGGGCAGGCAGCAATAAACCAGAGGAACCTAGTCTCTGCCATTTGGAATTCAAATCTAGAGAGCATTAAATGCTCATCAGAGCATTCAAGGTTAACTGCACAGATTGCTGCAAGGCCTCTGCCTTCTTCAACAATGTGTGTCCTAGCCACTGCTTCTTCTTTTGTGAAAATCACAGTTCCAGTTTTCCTCCATGAATGGAGAAGTTGGTCTGAGCTATTTCCCTTAGAGTGCACAACAGACAAAGTTTGTCACATGACAAGAGCATTTCCTTTTCCAAACAACAGGCTTGTGAGCAGTCTTTATCTTTTCTTTTTGTGAAAGAGGGTCTGACTATGGAGCACAAAATAGCCTTAAACTCTCCATCCTCCTGCCTCAAACTTCCGTGTGCTGGAATTAACTAGGCCTGCACCACCATGCCCCACTTGGGAGCAGTCTTAATTGAGGCAAAGAGAGCTATGCAGGGGGAACCACTGTGAAGATGAAACTTTCTGTGAGGCTTGAACTCTGAGGCTCAGAGAGAAACTCGATTGCCATTTAGTCCTGCTCTGATCCAACATTTCCTTCCTTCTTTTTCCTTTCCTTTCTTTCTGTTTCTTTCTTCCTTTTACGTGTGTCCACATGTATGTGTTCATGTGTGTGAGGCTACACGTTTGTGCGTGTGTATGTACACATGGATGCATGCTTGTGTGTGTGTTTATGGAGACTTAGAGGACAACCTTGGGTGTCATTCCTAGGAATGCTGACCGTTTTATTTTGAGACAGAGTCTCACACTGGCCTGGGGCACACTGATTAGGTTAGGCTGGCTGGCCAGCAAACCTCAGGGATCTGCCTGTCTCTCCCTCCTCTGACATTGCAAGCAGGTACCACCATGCCCAGGTTCTTCACATGGGCTCTGGGATTCGAACTTAGGTCCTCATGCTTGCACAGCAAGAACTTTACAGACTCAACCACCTCTCTAGCTTTCTGGGTTTTGTGTGTTCTTTTGTTTTGTTTCTGAGGCAGGGTTTTGCTATTATAGTACAGACTGGTCTTAGTGTTACAATCCTCCTGCCTCAGCCTCCCAAGTTATGTGATTAAAGGCATGTGCCAACATACCTGACTCCTTCTTAACCTTTCAAAGTCATATATCTCCATAAAAAGCGGTGGCTACTTTAGACTTCCTGTGTCACAAAATGACCTGCACATGTCTCAACCTATTATTTTCCCTCCATTTTCAGGAGCTTCATGGACACATCACATACCAGAATGTCCTGGAGCCCCAAAGACATATAAGAATTCCTAATCTATCCGAAAGCACATTTGAGCTCTCACACCCACGACTAGCAGTCTCTAGCTGGGTGGTCCTGTCCCTGGAACACAGAGGTAACGGTGTTCTTCAGTTGGGCAGAGGTCATACTGAATCCCCATGTGAGCTAAGCATCTTCAGAAAATGGAAACAAACACTCTTCCCAGTGGCCCTGGACATGATTCCAAAACTTGTCACCTGGCACATCTCATAGTTTCGGAAAAGAAAAACTGATTTAAAAAAAAAAAAAAGCGAGCTGGGTATGGTGGTGCACACCTTTAATCCCAGCACTCGGGAGGCAGAGGCAGGGGGATCTCTGTGAGTTCAAGGCCAGCCTGGTCTACATAGTGAGTTCCAGGACAGCTGGGGCTACAGGGAGACCCTGTCTCAAAAAGACAAAAAAAAAAGCGATTGGATCCAGCAGCCTTAGAAATTGGCAGAGGGCGGCTGCCCACTGAGGACATAGCAGTAGTATTCATTTGAGTTCTCTACTTCGTAGACGTTCTCCTCGATGCTGTAGATGTTTTCCTCTGAGCGCATCCCGTTTGCTACTGCATTCGCTAACCCCACAGGAGGGAGGTTGGCCAGTGTGATAAGGCTGTGAAAATAAAATCTTACAGTTGATGTAAGAATTTCTCAGGTAACCAACGAGATTGTTAAAGGAATAGGCCACACTGAAGAGAGCAGCCAAACACTAGTCCTGATCCTTGATTGGATGCTGACTGGGAGAAAGCCAAAACACGATTTGGGGAACAACTAAGAAAATGTGTATGAACACCATACATCCCTGCTCTTAGGAGGATTTTCATCTCTAGAAATGGAACTAGCTAGAGTCTGCCATGCAGGGCTGCTGTCCGGAGCATTTACTCGTGCCATTGTTGGTATTGATTATTGGGACATGTCAGACACGATGCTGGAGTGACAGCTGTCAACGTGGCACGCATGTTCTTAGTTTTGTGCGGGCTTTAAAGTGTATAGGTAGAGATGAACGTGGACCACATAATTTCACAGATAATGAGACAATGCTTGTCAGCATTACACATGAATATTTTCCAGTTTCAGCTCTAATGAGGAATAATGGTACTGATATTGAATATTATATATTTTGTCTCTGTAATATTCTAGATTTTACTCATTCTGAAATGAGTAGTGGTTCATATAGCATTCAAAGGATGGTGTTTTTCTTGAAATAATTGCATTTTTTAAAGATTAATTTAATTTTTTTTTTAAATTTTTATTATGTGTATGAATGTAATGCCTGCATGTAGGAAGGTGCACGGGTGTCATGCAATGCCTGCAGAGGTCAGAGAAGGTGTCGGATCCCCTGGAACTGGAATTACAGATGGTTGTCAGCCGCCATGTGAGTGCTGGAAATCAAATCTGGGTCCTCTGCAAGAGCAGCCAGTGCTCTTGATCACTGAGTTGTCTCTCCAGGCCCTTAAAGATTGATTTTTATGATTTTTTTTCTTCTTTTTGAGACAGGGTCTCCCTGTAGCCCCAGCTGGCCTGGAACTCACTATGCAGACCAGGCTGGTCTTACAGAGAACCACTTGTCTCTGCTTCCCAAGTGCTAGGACTAAAGGCATGCGCCACCACATCCAGCGATTTTTATGATTTTTGTGTATGTATATGTGGGACTGTATATCCACACATGCATGTCTGGGGCTGGAGCTAGAGCCACCAACATGGCTGCTGGGATCAAACTTTGGTCCTCTAGAGGAATTAGCCATCATTCATTCTTAACCACCGAGCCATCTCTCCAATGAACTGCATTTGTTTACCATGTATTGAATCTCATTAAAACTGTAAAATCTGGTACTAGCTGCAGAAGCTGAATCCATTCAGAATGGATGTGTGTGTTTGGTCAGGAAGGGAGTTAAGACAGGGATGTGCAGACCTCCAGAGTCCCCAGTCCTGACTGCACAGCAGAAACACCTGGAGAGATTTTAGAGCAATCCCTGCTCAAGCTCCATCCCCCAAGATCCTGCTTCATTTGCTCTGGGGTAGGTCCTGCACCAGCACGCTTAAGCCCAGGTCATCCTAACATGATAGCAGAATAGAAAATGCCTGAGCTGGGGCTGTAAAAGCCCTAAGCAGAGCTACTTGTTTTCTTGATCACTTTGGTGACTGACACCAATGTCCAGCCCAGGCCAAGAACTAGTAAACACTCGGTCATTAAAGGTTCATTTCATTGGAAAACAAATCCTTGAATATAGAAATTAGTAAGCATTTCTTAATAATAGAAAAATTCTGTATCTTAGCCTTGGAATTAAATGTACAGGAGAGCAGCTGCTGAATTTTCCTTTCATATTTAGGCCTGAGCTCAAGGTAAGTATAAGCTTAGATGCAAAGCTCCAAATAAGAACTCAGGAAAGATGAATCCATATTACAGGAGAGCCCCAGGACCCTTGTCCCCTTCTGTTAGTCTTACCTTGAATTCTGGAACTTATTTTTCTTATGAGAATACCCTAGGCAAAAGGGAGAAGAAAAGTTAAAGTGCTTTACTAAAATACATGGAACAAAGAAATAAATAAAATAGGCAGATTGGAGGTAAGAGTTGCTCATAGACATCCAGTCTTCCTGTAGAATGAATTAAACTTAAAACATGTGTCTTAGAACTATGTAAAAAGGAATAAAGATGCATTTCTCTTAGTTAACAAATATTAAGAGTTGTATTATGTGGGACTGGAGAGATGGCTCAGCAGTTAAGAACACTGACTGTTCTTGTAGAAGACCCAGGTTCGAATCCCACCACCCCCATGGCAGCTAACAACTGTCGGTAACTCCAGTTAGGGAATCCAACAGCCTCTTCTGTACTCCGTGGGCATTGCAGGACATGGGTGCACTTACCTACATGCAAGCATATAACACTCATACACATAAAATAAAAATAATAAATAAAATATTTTTTTAAAAAAGAGAGAGTTGTGTTATGTGTGCAGCGTTTGGTCAGCACCAGGAACTCCCAAGTAAAGAGCACTGACTTCATGAGGTGGGTATCCCAGTGAGGAAGGAAGGGAAGAGAGAAGTCAGGAAGGGAGGGGAGGGATGAGGGAGGGAGAGAGGAGTTAAAGGGTAGAAGAAATAATTTCAAATTCTGATGCATTATGAAAGGAAACCAACCCTACACTGAGGTAAACCCTAGAGAAGAAGATCAGGGTAGCACTGTAGGAAATGACCTTTGAGGTCTGTTCTGAGAGAAGAATGAGTCAGCTGTGTTAAGAGTAAGGGAAGAATTACAGGAAGAGAGAACACCCTTATTAAAGATCTTTGTAAGTTCAAAACCAAAACCATGGTTATATAAGAGAACGGTTCCCCAGATGTCAAAGAGGCAACTGAGGCTAGGTCCTAAAGATGTTTGCAGGCCTAATCTTATAATCCCAGCACTTAGGCTGTGAAGGCAGGAGGATCAGGAGTTCAAGATGAGTTAGCAACAGCAACAAAAAGAGTTTAGATGTTGTAGTAAGACATGAAGACTTGTAGGAGATCAAAGAAGGACAGATATCATCTGAGTTGGATTTTAATGTTAACTCTGGCTACTCTGTAGAGAACAGATTAGAAAAAAGAAAAGAAACAAGAAGACAAAGATGATGGTGACCAAGAAAGATCTAGAATTATGAAAGGATTTTGGATCTATTTTGTGAAGAGACCAGAACTGAAGTTGATTGCATAAGCAGAAATAGGAAAGGGAGGAATCAAGGATGATTTCTGAATTTATAGAATAGGCAACTAGAAAGACAGTAGTGAAAGCATGGAGAAGCTTGGAGCCTGACAGGTGGGCTCTGGCAGGTGAAGTATTGAAGCAGGAGCTCTTTTCTGACTTAGAGAAAAACATTAAAGATGACATTTAAGTCCATGGAAATGCACATTATAACCTAGAGAGTCTACAGAGAAGAAAAGTCCAAATCCTGAGGAATTTCAGCATCTAAAGATCAGGCAGAAGAGGAAATAGCTAAATAACTGAAAAGAAGTGACCAAGTAGCAGAGTAGTTCAGAAGCCAAGAGAAGACATTTCAGAACAGAGTAAGGGATCTGCTTTGACAGTGCTGCAGAAATACTAACCCCAATATGTGCAAAGACATACGTGAGAGTCAGCAAAATGGAAGCTTCTGGTGAGCTAGACTGAAATTATATTCATGGTGCTTCAAGGATAGAAGAGAGATGACAGAGGATACAGGCAAACAGAGGGGTGAGGAGAGGGGCCCCTCATTCTAGAAATATGGCTGGGAAGGAGAACTGAGAAAGGGCAGCAGCTGGAGAGGGATGTGTAGACCAGTGACAGCAGCATAAAAAAGAAGAGACAGGCAATTCAGAAGAAAAGGATAAAACGGGGGATGGAGTCTTGACATTGGATATGCACCTTTGCTATTTCATTGGGATGACAGAGGTTTGAGCAGCAGTGAGCATAGTAGGTCACGGAAGAGAGGAGACAGTCTACTAGAAATGTAGCAAATTGCTGGGCACTGTGGAGCCAGTGGCTATGATGTCATGACTTAAGAACTCATGACCAGCCACCTCAGCTGTCACATTGTCTCCAGCAACATCTAGGGAAAAAAAAATTACAAACTAACTAAAACTTTCTGATCCTTTCTTCTCTGTTGCAGCCATGTTTGGAACTAACAGTTGTCTCTCTGTAACCATTGGGGGTTGGTCCTGGAAGCCCTTTGGACACCAAAATCTGAGGTTGCTCAAGGTTTTTTTTGTTGTTGTTATTTTTGGTTTTTGGTTTTGGTTTTGGTTTTGGTTTTTTTTTTTTGGACTTTTTGAGACGGGGTCTCCCTCCTGTAGCCCCAGCTGTCCTGGAACTCACTATGTAGACCAGGCTGGCCTGGGTTTTTTTTTGGACTTTTTGAGACGGGGTCTCCCTCCTGTAGCCACAGCTGTCCTGGAACTCACTATGTAGACCAGGCTGGCCTTGAACTCACAGAGATCCACCTGCCTCTGCCTCCCGAGTGCTGGGATTAAAAGGTGTGCGCCACCACGCCCAGCTCTCACACCTCACAGGAAGCAAGAGAGCAACTCAAGATTCTGCAAGGCTTAAGAACTCTCTAAGCCCACCCTCAGTGATGGGCTTCCTCCAGCATAGCCACACTTCTAAGACCTCCCAAAACAGGTCCACCCACTGGGGACAAAATATCCAAATACTTGGAGCCTATGGGGGACATTATCATTCAAACGACCACAGTAGTTATAAGGATTTAATCTCCTTAAAACCAAACCCATGAAAATGTCAGTTCACACTTAGGGTGACCATCTCATCCTGATTTTTCCCAGATCATCCCAGAGTCTACCAATGGAAGTCCCATATCTTAGGACCCTCCATCAGTTTTGGGAAAATCTAGAGTGATTGGTCACCTTACATACATGGTCCCTGTTTTTGTGTCCATGAGAAAGTTTGCTATAATGTACCAAACTTTGGTTCATTCCTTGTTCTCTGAAGAAAAGAATATATTAGACAACTGTGTGAGGCCTTGGGGTGATGGAAATATTAGAATTTTGATTGATGGTTTCTGAGTAAAATCATCAAACTGAAAAAACTTTTTTTTTTTCTGAGACAGGATCTCATGTAGCCCATCTGGCCTAGAGCTATGTAGCTAAGGATAAACTTGCTCTTCTGACCTCCTCTCTCACCTCTCAAATGCTGCAATCACAGGTGTGTGCCATCACACCTGTTTTTATGTAACACTAGAGATTAAAACCAAGGTATCCTGCATGATACAAAAGTACTCTGTAGGAATGACTTTTACAATATGGACATAATCTGGACTAACAACTTCTACCTAACCTTGTAACCAAAAAGTTACTGTTTATAATGTAAACAAACTCACTAAGGCATCTGCTTCTCTTAGGACCTGGGCATATGACCTTAATCTCTCAGGACCCTTCCTAGCTCTCCACTCAAAATAGTATGATAGAATATGAATGCATCACAGGAATAACATATCAAGGGACTGAAAGCAGCATACTTTTCTCATTGTAAACAGTGAAAATATTGGGAAGTCTGTTTGTAATTGTGTGTGTGATATTCTAGGCCTAGCGATCAAAGCCAGATTCTCTGATAAGATAAGCATGGGTCTGAGTTCTACTTCCCCAATTCATGCTGGAGATACTGTTTCCAAAAAAGAATAAGTGAAGGCTGGTTGGAAAGCACAGTTCCATGAGACACCTGAGGGAACAGGTTCTCAGAGTTCAGGTCACTCTTCGCCTTAAAAAATGCTAAGTCAGGCAGTTCCTTTATTCAGGCAGTAAGGTGGACTAGAACGGCTGCAGCACTCTGCCAACTGAGCTACACTGTCAAACTCCACACTGTTTGCTTAAACACAGACAAATAGCTGGGTATGTTGAGTGAGATAAAGGAGAAAAAGGCCTTAAAAAATGCTAAGTCAGGCAGTTCCTTTATTCAGGAATAACTGTAAGGTGGACTAGAATGGCTGCAGCACTCTGCCAACTGAGCTACATTGTCAAACTCCACACTGTTTGCTTAAACACAGACAAATAGCTGGGTATGTTGAGTGAGATAAAGGAGAAAAACAAGTTTGGATTAAAGTGCAATGCCTTAGAAAACAGTGTGGAAGCACGCACAGAAAGAGGCTGTGCTGCGTTTCCTAACAAATTTATAAATATGTCTAATATTCATAAATGAATAAAATTGTTTTTCATAATCAAAGATAGCAGACACTGGTTTATTTGCCTACACTGGAATTTCAGCTTTATGTCTGGCCACTGTACAATTTTGGGAAACCGGCTTCAAGCTGTATTTTCCTTCACCCTAAAATGGAAATGATAATAACAATATCTATCTTATAAATTGGTGATGATGTTTAAGATGTATGTCAAACATTTATCAGAGTGTCTCTCTAATACACAGAGACATTGAATAAATGAGTATCTATCTAGTCTAACCACCTCTAGGTGTAACTATAAGAATACATTTCTATCTAGTTTTGTTTTTGTTACTATATTAACAGTTCTTTATCAGAGAAAAGGGGAAGCAATGTATACAACTCACATTTCAGAATTAAAGCACCAAAGATAAGAGCGAGAACCAGCCCAGCAAAGACTCCTGCTCCAATGTAGACACTTGTTCTGATGACTTCTCCAGAGTCCTTCAGTTCATCAGTCAGTGTGGAGATTTGCTAGGGGAAAACAAACAGAATTCAAGCTGCAGATGTCCACAAATTAGTTACGTACCCAGTCAATCTCAGGATTTGTGAACCAGATCATTCCTTTCTATGGTATCCCAGGATTGTCGGAATGGTAAAGCCATCCTTGATCTGTGTCCCCTTCTCGACCATCCTCAGGCCACCAAAGAAATGGATCAGGTTAATCTTTTAGTTAACAAGGAAATAGAACACTCCCTTCTATGCAGTGTGTGTAGAGCTTGCTCTTTATCCCACCCCATCCCCAAAGGATGTGAGAGCCAGGACTTTGCAGCCAGACAATCCTGGGTTCAAATCTCAGCTCCATCACTAGAAGTTCAGTACCATGTACAGTTCCTGGGAAAATCAAGAAACAAAACTGTAAGATGCTAAGCACAGGGCCTGCTTAATAATGAATGCTCGGCCGATAGTGGGTGCTCTTGTTCTTCTCTACTTTCTGATAGCTGAGAGTTATACAAAAATCCTTCTGTTTCTAAAATTTAAGTTCACGTTCCCTCTTTAAAAACAACTAAAGACAGGGCATGGTGGTGTACACCTTTAATCCCAGCACTTGGGAGGAAGAGGCAGGCTGATCTCTTTGAGTTGGAGGCCAGCCTGGTCAACATAACAAGTTCCAGGCCAGCCAGGGCTATACAGTGAGACCCTGTCTCAAAAAATAAATAAATAAACAAACAAATTAATTAATAATAAATAGTAAATAAAACAATGATGGGCTAGAGAGATTGCTCAGCAGTTAAGGGTACTTACTGCCTTTGCAGAGGACCTGGGTTCAGTTTCCAGGCCCACATAACAACTCGCAACTGTGTATAACTCCAGTTCCAGGGGATCTGACACCCAGCAAAATCACTCATACATATAAAATAAAAGTAAAATAAATCTTTGGGAAAAAAAAAAAAAACCAGCAGGGCTGGAGAATTGGCTCTGCATCTATGGTTAAAAACATTGGTTGTTGGGGGCTGGAGAGATGGCTCAGTGGTTAAGAACACTGGTTACTTACCTACACGCAGGCAATACACATATACACATAAAATAAAAATAATAAAAATTAAAAAAAAAAACAAAAAAAACATTGGTTGTTCTTACCGAGGACCTGGTTCACTTCCTAGCACCAACATGGCAGATAAAAACTATCCGCAACTCAAGTTCCAGGAGATCTGATGCCCTCTTCTGACTTCTATGGACATTCCACAACTCAGGTGCACTTACATACATGCAGGCAATACACACATACACATACACATCAAACATCCTGTTCAGGTGTGCTTGCTTGATCTGAATGAGGATGATGCGTACCCTTTTGCAAAAGTAAGGGCTGCTTTGCTGAGCTATTTTCCCATTGTCCATGTGTTCTTTGTGTACTATAGGTTGGGGTTCTTGGACCTCAGATTTTATTTCTAACATTATTATTTTATTTGTTGTTGGTTTTTGTTTTTTAAGATAAGATCTTGCTGTGTAGCTCAGGCAGGCCTAAAAATCACTACTTAACTTGCCTCTGAAGTTCTGAAATTATAGGTGTCATCACTGTGTCTGGCTGGCATATTTGCTCTAAAAGGGTTGTTGTTATTATTAAGACAGTGTCTTCCCAACTACTAGAGCACTGTGTCTTTTCCTCATTGCCTGGGGTTCAACATCACAGTCTTCCCTAGTTGGCTAGTTTAAAATAATCAGCACAAAGGAAGGGGAAGAGGGCTTGAACAAAGAGGAGAAGGGCTCTGCCACTCCAGGCCATCAGGTTCCAGGAATGCATCAGGATCTTTCCTAAACAAACATTTTACAGGGTGTGTGAGGAGGGGGATTCAAAGATGAGAATTCCTCATCATAAACCAAAAGTTTTATAGGCGTTGAAAGAAAAAAACTAATATTTAATGTTTCTCACAAATAAAAAATAAGGAAGTTAAATCCTCTAATTAGTCAATACTTCTGGGGCAACAGATAGCCTTAAATGTGGCCACTAATTTCAGTGAGGTTATAAGGCCTCACTGTGTAGCTGTGGCTGACCTGGAACTCTTTCTGTAGACCAGGCTGACCTTGAACTCAGAGACCTACCTGCTTCTGCCTTCCGGGTGTTGGGATTAAAGTATTATGGCACCACCATACCCAGCAAGAATTTATTGTAATCATTTATTATTTGTGTGTGGTATGTATGTGTGTATCTGTGTGTGTGTGTGTGTGCGTGTGTGTGTGTGCACATGTGCACTCAAGCACACACATGCCTTGGCACATGTATGGAGGTCAAAGGACAAATTTCGAGATTCAGTTGTTTCCTTCCATCTTGGTTCTAGGGATTATATTCAGATCTGAAGTCTTGCTTGGAAAATGCTTTTACCTACTGAGTCATCTTTCTCATGGTTTTTCTTTTGCTCTGATTGGAGGACACCAGAATTGTAGTAAAACACAGTATTACTTTACAGGTGAGTACATAAATTCTGAACTCTGTATATTCCTGATTGGTGTCTAGCTATATAGAAATTAATAAATTATTTAATTTAAACTTATTTTATTTTTGAAGCAGGGTCTTGCTATGTAGTATAGGACGGCCTAGAATTTACTATATATCCCAGGCTGGCCTTGAACTATCCTCTTCTATAAACTTTGGCTATCTTCTTCTATAAACTTTCTGGGTACTGGGGCTACAGGTGTGATCTACCATATCAGTTTAAATGAAAAAACTTAAGCAAACAACATTTCTTATTAGGTTTACAATGGATGCAAGGGGAGGAAAAAAAATCCCATATTCTCATAAAGTAAAGAGTCTTTGAGCCAAGGGTGGTGGATCCAATTCTAGAACTCAAGAGGTAGGCAAAAAGATTATAGCAAGTTTGAGGCCACCCTGATATAAATGGTGTATTCCAGGCTAGCAAGGATTTCACATTGAGATTCCATCTCAAAGAACAAAACAAAAGTCAGGTATAGTGGCCCATGCCTTTAATCCCAGCACTCAGGAGGCTGAGTGTGGTGGTCTGAATGAAAATGTCCCCCATAGGCTCCAAGTACTTGGACATTTTGTCCCCAGATGATGGTGCTGTTTTGGGAGGTTTTAGAAGGTGTGGCCATCCTAGAGGAAGCACGTCACTGGGGGTGGGCCTACGGAGTTCCTAAGCCTTGCCAGATCTCCAGTTGTTCTCTTGCTTCCTGTGCCTGTGTGATGATGTGAGAGCTTAGCTTCTGCTGCTCCTGCTCCAGCCACCTCCAGCCACCATGACTCCCTGCCAAGACAGACTTTAATTCCCCTGGAACCGTAAGCTCAAAAAACTTCCTTCTATAAATTGCTTGGGTCACTGTTTCTATCACAACAACAGAAAAGTGACTAATACACTGAGGCAGGTGGTTCTCTGTGAGATCAAGCCTTGCTTGGTCTACACAGTGAGTTCCAGGCTAGCTGGGGCTATGGGGAAATCCTTTATAAAAAACAAATGCTGAGCAAGGACATGGTACTTTAGTCCTGCAGTTTTGGTATTCGAGAGGCTAAGGCAGGATGGTCACCACAAGTTCAAAATCTGAGATCTGTAGGTGGTTTGAAGACAACCTGGCTATATCACAAGACCCTGTCTTTAAAAAAAAAAAAATGCTGACTTGGTACATACCTATAATCTTAACACTGCAGAGGTTGGGGCAGGAGGATTGGAAGTTCATGATCATCCTTAGCTACACAGCAAGTTTAAGACAAGCCTGGGCTATGAGACCTTGTCTCCAAACAACAAAATCCAAATGAAAACCCTGAAAACAGAATGGCTACACCTTCCACAGTGGTATGGATTGATGACATTTGCAAAGAGAAAAGAGGAGCAAAATGTTCCTTTCTTCTTTGGGGGTTTTCGACTCTTAGCATGAACAGGGCCTTTATACCCATCTTTCCTTCTATCGTCTGACGGGCCTATGAAGTTAGAACTGTCACACCATACACTACAGACAAGGACTCTAACGCCAAAGGAGGGTAAAAGCTTTTTCCTCACAAAAGGGTGGCATGAAGGTAGTCTGACGGACAAGCTTCCTTCACTTTACTCTATTGGAGCTTGATATTAGTACACATAAAAAAGTCACTTACTGTTTGATTTTTATCATGGAGACTCCCCAGTGTCTGTGTCTCTGCCACACAAACACACAAACACAAAAGAGAAAAATAGACAATAAGAATGTTAAAAATAGACAATTAAGAATAGTTTTAAAATCTAAATTAAGGGACATACATAAATATATCTATAATCTTATTTACTATTAATGCTTCCCCATATTCTCCTTGACAATTAGAAGACTAACAAAATATACTGAATGCATAGGTCAGTACAAATCAGTGTCAGGATGACCCTTTTTCATGTAGATAATAACTCCCACTACCTATGTTTCATGAAATGCAGACTTCCTTCGGGAGACTCACACTGAATATGTGCTGGGCTCTGTCCTCAGGGCCTAATGAGCTCTACAGCAATTCAATAGCACTGATAACATTCAGTAATTATATTCCAATTAGACTTTCAAAGACATGAAAATTCATTTCCTTGAGAAAGGTTAGTGCATATTCATTGGCAAGGTACTTAGTTGCTTTCAAATGGAAATAAGAGCTACAGTTTACCAGAAGTCAGGCATTTTGTTAAGCTCTTTTTTTTTTGGTGGATCTTTTTGAGACAGGATCTCTCTGTAGCCCCAGCTGACCTGAAACTCACTAAGTAGACCAGGCTGGCCTCGAACTCACAACAATCCTCCTGCCTCTGCCTCCAGGGTGCTGGGATTAAAGGTGTGTGCCACCACGCCCAGGCCATTTTGCTAAACTCTTAATGAGGTATCTCAGTATTGAAAATAACTAACCTAAAAATACAAAATCAGAGAGACCAAACAATGCACTGTTGAACAATGACTGGGTCATTGAGGAAATTAGGAGGGAAATTAACAAATTCCTAGATGAAAATGAAACTCCATCTCAGATAACATGAGATAAAAAGAATGTACTTATAAGAGGGAAGCTTACAGTCACATAAATGCCTACATTGAAAAATTAGAGCAATCTCAAATAATAATCTAAAGATATGCCTCAAGGTCCTAGAAAAACAAGAACAATAAAGCCTCCCAAAAGTATATGGAAACAAATAATTAAGATCGGGGTAGAAATTAATGAAATAGAAACAAAAGGAACAGTACAAAGGATCAATGAAAAGATGAACAAGATGTACAAACCCTTGACCAAACTAACCAAAAGAAAGAGAGAAGACTCAAATACATAAAGTTAGAGACAAAAGGCAGACATTACCAAAGATATCAGTAACATTCATTAAATCATTATGACATATCTTAAAAACTTTAATTCCACTAAACTTGAAAATCTGAAATGAATTTTCTACACACATATGATCTACCAAAATTAAACTAAGAAAAGATAAACAATTTAAGCAGATCTATAACAATGAGACCAAAGCAGTATTTTTTTTTTTTTTTTTTTTTTTTTTTTAAAAAAAAAAAAAAAAAAAAAAAAAAAAGAGGACGATAAATCTTTCAAGGCTGGCCTCAAACTCACAAAGATCTGCCTGCCTCTGCCTCCCAAGTGCTGGGATTAATGCCCGGCATTGAAGCAGTAATTTTTAAAAGTGCCAAGGCTCAGATGTATTCAGTACTAAATTCTACCAGACCTTTAAAGAAGAATTAGACCTGATGATTCTCAATCTATTTCATAAAATATAAATGGAAGGAATGCTACCAAACTCATTTTATGTAGCCAGCATTATCCTGATACTGAAATCAGATAAGAATATAACAGTATAAAAAGAAAATTATAAACCAATCTCCCTGATGAACACAGATACAAAATTTCTCAACAAAATATTTGCAAACCAAATTCCATGACAATAAAGAGATCATTTATGATTATCAATTTGGCCTATCAGTATATAGATGTGGGGATGGTTCAACATATTCAAATCAGTTATTGTAATACACTAGATACATAGATTAATCTGCTTCCCTGGTCTTTTGGCTGAGATCAAGTGTAGCACATAAATGGTTTCAAGGATAAAAATCACATGATTATTTCAATGGACTCGGGAAAGGCCTGTGACAAAGTCTAACAAGCCTTCATGGAAAAAGCCCAGAAAAAACTAGGAATAGAGGGCACATTCCTCAATACAGAGGCTGGGGCTGGAGGCCAATTGGTAAAGTGCTTGCCTAGCATTTGCTGAAGGCCTGGGTTCGATCCCCAGTACCACATAAACCAGATGTGATGCACCATGTCTGTCATCCTAGCACTGAGGAAGGAGGTAGAGGCAGGAGGATCAGGAGTTCAAGGTCGCCACTGGCTATATAGCCGGTTTAAGGCCAGCCTAGGCTACATGAGACCTTGTTCAAAAAAATATTTTTAAAGAAGGAACATACCTCAATATAAAGTCAATATATAACAAACCTATAGTTGTCATCACACTAAATGAGGAAAAACTCAAAGCATTTCCACTAAACTCACGAATGAGACAAGGGTGCCCATTTTTTCCACCCTTATTCAATATTATTCTTAAAACCGTGTGTAGATCAGTAAGAGAAACAAAGGTGATACAAATATTACATGTTAAAGTATTCCTATTTAAACATGATATAATCTTATATGTAAGAAACCTTAAAGACTCTACCAGAAAACTCTTAGAACTGATAAACACTTTTAGCAAGTAGCAGGATACAAAATCAATATACAAAAATTCTAGCTTTTCTATATACCAATAATAAACATGCTGAGAAAGAAAAAAACAAGTCATTCACGATAGCTTCAAATAAAATAAAATACCTCAGAATAAATTGACCCAAGGAAGCGAAAGAGAGCTCTATAATAAACATTTTAAAATACTGAAGAAATTGAAGAAAACAACTTCTATACTCGTGGATCAGAATTAATATTATGAAAATGGTCACATAACCAAAAGAATCTACTGGTGTCATGTAATCCCCTTCAAAATTCCAATGACATGCATTACAGACACAGAAAATTGGGTCCTAAAACGTGTATGAAAGCAAAAAGATCCGCAGTAGCCAAAGCAATCCTGAGCACAGTTGACCAAGCCAGAGGCTCACCATACCTCATCTCACTCCAGAGCCATAGTGACAAGCAGCACAGGACTGACACAAAAACAGACACGTAAACCAATGGGATAGTATGGAGGACCCAGAAACAACCCACACGACTAACATCATCTGACTTTTTGACAAACATTCCCCAAAACATACATTGGAAAAAAACCTCTTCACAAATACATACACACAAGGGATGCTTCATTAAGCCATAAAGGACTAAATGGGGGTCTTTGCAGGAAAATAAATGGAACTGGAGGCCATCATATTAAATAAAATAAACCGCAGACACAGAAAAACAAATATGAAGCTTGATCTCATTTGTGGATGCTAGATTTTATATGGATGAACAAAACCATTTGTGAGTACAAAATGAAAGCCTAAGCAAGACCAAATCAGGGCAGAAGGGGCCTAGTGGGGACAAGAGAAGGCTATGATGGGGATAAATATCATCAGAGCTCATGACATACTTGAATGAAAATGTCTTTATGAAACTTGTCACTATGAGCAATGAATATAGGCCAACAAAAAATTAAATTAAAGAACAGTGAAACAGCTGCCGTGAAGAGCAGGGACTGCGTCATGGTTGGCTTCTTGTCAACTCGGACACACCCGGGAAGAGAGCACCTTAACTGGAGAATTTCCTCTATGGGATTTGCCTGTGGCCATGTCTGTGAAGCACTTTCTTGATTGTCCAGTGATGTGGGAGGCCCAGTGCACTGTGGGAGGTGCCAGCCCTGGGCAGGTGTCCTGGGTTGCTTAAGAAGGCAGACTGGGGGCTGGAGAGATAGCTCAGTGGTTAAGAACACTGGTTGTTCTTGCAGAAGACCCAGGTTCAAATCCCAGCACCCACATGGCAGCTAATATCGTTCCGTAGCTCCAGTCCCAGGGGATCCGACAGCCTCTTCTGACTTCCACGGGCATTGCAGGACACGGGTGCACTTACCTACATGCAGGCAATACACGCATACACATAAAAAATAGTAAAATTTAAAAAAAAAAAAAAGGAAGGCAGACTGAGCGCAGGTCCCAGGAGCAAGGCAGAATGCAGCGCTCCCTCACCAGCTCTGCTTCAGCTTTTGCCTCCAGGCTCCTGCCTTGCCTTCCTGCCCTGGCTTCCTTCAACAAGGAACGGTAAGCCTGACAGGAAAGCCAAATAAACCCTTCGGTCAAGTTGCTTTTGGTCAGTGTTTTATCACAGCAAGAGAAAGCAAACTAACATGGACTATTAGTCACTTTGGACAAGAGAAGAAACTGAGAATGAGGAAGTGACCTCCCCGGGGCTCCTGCTCAGGGAACAATGGCTTCCCATGGAGGCTTTGCAGGCATGTTCTCAACTACAAGGCCTTCAACACCCAACAACGTCACCATCGTGAAGACAGTGACGCAGCCCAGCTGCCAGCCACCGTGTCTTCTTTACGGCTAATTTGTTTATTTCTTCATCTACTTATCTAGCCAGTCTGTGTACTGCTCTACACCAGGCAGAGGGAACAGAGCCACAAGCAAGAGAGGCCCTCCCCTCAACTTGTGGACACTGCCTTCTGAAAACAGTCATCAGCTTCTGGAAAACTAAGTAAACTTACTCACTTTTCTGGGTGACTGGGAGACTGTGAACTCCTTAAAAGTCATGGTCACATCCAGAACCTTCAAATCTAAATTCTTCAAGATATATAAAAGTTTCACTAAATTTAATTTAATAGACTATGATTTAAATATTTTTAAGACATAGTCTCAGCCTACAATTTTTTAGCTACAGGAACAAAATGAAAACAACTTCTCCAGTTATCTTTGTTCTCATTACCTGAAAGCAATTTAAAGCACAAAAACCACAGGTGGGGAACTGGGAAGTCAACAGGAATCTTCAGCACACGCAATGCTTGAAAATAGATATCCTGCTTCTGCTTCCCTGACATTATGATTCTTGGTCTAAGTGATAAGACTGACATTCTTTTTCATTCTTGAGACAGTGTCCCATATAGTCCAAGTTGGCCTTAGACTGACTGTGCAGCCAGGATGACCTTAAATGCCCCATCCTCCTGTCTCACCTCCCTAATGCTGAGATTACAGGCTTGTGCCAACATACCCAGTTTATGTGGCACAGGGGATCAAACTCAGGGCTTCCATGCACGTTAGACAAGCACTCTACCAACTATATAATACACGTGCCCCATGCCCCAGTCCTGACTTCTGTTTTCCCATTTGACTTTGCTATGGGAATGATCCATACAACAGAGTACTGTAGTGTAACGTTCAGATTGATTTGTCATCATTTAAGACAGGTGGGACAGTTGGAAAAAGACACATGTTTTTCCTGGAGAATCCAAGACTCCACCGGAATGTAGGAAGCAGGGGAAGGGATGAAAGGGTCATACACATGTGTACATGTCCCAGTTACCTTCTACCCAGCACGAAGGTGCCAGGCATGGTTCTCAACACTGCTATATGCCCACAATCGCATTAATGGTAATCACAGCTATGCGTTACCATTTTCTGATAAAGAAATGGAGTTTAATTTAGCGAGACAGAGAAAGAAAAAGAGTATTCGTGTGTTTGTATACGATGGCACACATGTGGAGGCCAGAGGAAAACCTGTTTCCCTCAGGTCATCATCCTTGGCAGCAAGCCCCCATACCTGCTGATCTATCTCAAGTCCAGAAACTGAGTCTTAGAGATGAACTTTGCCCATGATCACACATCGTGGATTGAGAAACCTGGGTTCAAACCAGGTCTACCCCAGAACTGAAGATCACCTGTGACCCAGTCTTGCCTCCTTCAATAAGAAGAGATTCCACTTGTTCTGTGCTCAAGGTGAGTTTAAGAAATTCTCCTCTAACTTTTTAAGGCTCCCTTCTACTTATATTAAACACATTAAACATATCCATATTCACAGTATACAGGAGATATACATGACCATATAATAGACTTGTGGATGACAGATATAATATCACATACTGTCTTTAAATATTCATGAATTGCACTTTTCCATGTTTTTTTCCTACTGTGAGGCCTTTCCCTCTTTGAACTATTCTTCTGTCTGGCTGCTGGAAACTTCAGAGATTCTATCTAGATAATGTGCCTACAATGTGTGATGTAAGAGATGACCCTGTTTTTACTGCCCTTTGTCTAAGAAAAAGTAAACACAAACAAAGGGAAGGAGACTTACGTTCATGACTCAGACAAGGAAGCCTGCATGTGTGGGCATACATGAATGTCTATTCTAGTCGAGCATGGTGGCTCATACCATTAATCCCAGTACTCAGGAGTCAGAGACAGGCAGAGCTCTGTGAGTTCGAGGCCAGCCTGGTCTACATAGCGAGTTTAAGGTCAGCTGGGGCTACAGGAAGACCCTGTCTCAAAAACAAAAAAAAAAAAGGTCTATTCAATGGTGACAGACAGCGCACCCCTGCACAGCATGAGAAACTGGGACTCATGATCCCTGAAGTCCATCCAGATCTGTGCCTGTAGGTGCTTCAAAATAAAACAATTCTACCAGGTCACACAATAAATGGCAAACCATGAATATCTCTTAGAACTGAATTATCCTACTGTGCGGTGATCATCTGCTTCTACATCACATAAGAGACGTTGACCACCGAGTCCTAAGAGAGGTGACGTCAATAATTGCAATAATGATATTAAGGATGAATATTTGAGTGATTTCTAGGGACTAGATACTGTGCTGAACAATTCACACGTATTATCATGTTTAATCTTGACAAAATTATGAAGCAGGCACTGGAATCATTCTCCTTGTAATGATAAGAAACCTGAACTTCAAAGAGTTGGAGCAACTCTACTGAGTTCAGAATTAGGATAAAGAGCTAAATTGAGGACCTGTCGTAGGTAGTTTACAGCTGATATATGATTCTAACCCAGGGTGCTTTTTTATCAGCGCACATGTGCATCCACCATCTTGCTCACATTAGACAATGTTTCAAGTGCAGAGAAATGTTTCTATTCTTAAAGTGCTTTTCTCAGCTATTTCTCATATTCACAACCCTGTGAACTCAGACACCAGCTAAAGACATCCTCCTATGCCCCAGGTTTTATGTGCTGGATAGCTTTAGTGTCAACTTGACATACCTGGGTTGAGGGAGCCTCAATCAGGGAATTTCCTCCATTGGACTGGCCTGTGGTCATGTCCGTGGGGCATTTTCTTGATGAGTGATGTGGGAGGGCCCAGCCCACTGTGGGTGGTGCCACCCCTGGGCAGGTGGGCCTGTGTTGCCTAAGAAAGCAGGCTGAGCAGGGGCCAGGGGAGCAAGCCAGTAAGCAGTGTTCCTCCATGGCCTGTGTTCCAGCTCCTGCTTCCAGGTTCCTGCCCTGAGTTCCTACCTTGGGCTCCCTAATGAACTGTGACCTGGGAGATGTAAGCTGAATAAACCTTTTCCTCCCCAAGTTGGTAGTGGTCAGAGTGTTTTGTCACAGCAATGAAGAAACAAACCAGGACATCTTACCTGAGCCATTTCCCTCCGTGGTAAGTGTTCTTGGAAGGGCTGTAGTAAAGTCTCCCTGTGCAGTTCTGGCAGGGGTAAACTTGGCTGGGATCAGAAAACAGCGGTCATACTAAAAGCTCTGCATAAACATTAACTCATAAAATTCTTCCAGTGACCCATGTGTACTTGGCAATTATATTTTATGACAGAAGAGGTCACACATTTGAAATAACTTTCAAAAATTACACAGTAAGAAGGAAAGTTAATTTGAAGTCTGCTCCATCTGGCCACAAAGTGGGTGCTACAAAGAAATTGTTTTTCTTGTGGTACTATGGAATCAAACCCAGGGCCTCATGCATGTTAAGCCAGCACTCTACTAGAGAGCTTCATGCTTCACCTTATGAGCTATAAATCTTAAAACATAAGAACATACACATATACTCCTTCAGCACATATGGACAGCCTAGTAGTTCCCAGCTCTGGCAATACCCTTAGTAAATTTTCGTCAAAAAGAGAAAATCCCAACTCTATGGGTAGGGTTGAATAGCTATAGTTGTTCAGAGACTCTTTGGGAGATTTTTAATGACAGCCAGGGTCTAGAACCACTGATCTGGCCCTTCTCCCCCTTTGGTAGGCTGCATCTATGAGTCTGAAAACATAGGAGAGGAATTAAACACTGGGAATCATAAGTGAGGCCTATTGGACTTGAGGTCTACAGGGTCCAACCCCCAGGACTGTACTTAGAGAAATCTGAGGTGATATATCTATATCTTTATTTATTATAATCCATGGGTGAATTTTTTGTATATTTTTAATGAATTTTTGTTTATGTCATACAGAGCATCTTTTTGTTTGTTTTTTGGGGTTTTTTTGGTCTTTTGGAGACAGGGTCCATATACAACATCTTAATCATCTTTGTACCCCCTTCCCCATCAGCACCCTCCCATAGCCCCCTCACTGGATTTCATGTGTTCTGTTATTTGTGTTAAGGTTTGTCAAGTCAAGTTAGTGTCCCCAGATGTCCCTCAGTGCAAATTCGCCATGGGTGAATCTTGTGCATTAAAAGGACATGGAAAGGTCTACTCACCTGGTTGGATGACCAACTCCAGGTTGAATTTTCCATCATTCATTGGACCAGGGAACTCTATCCTGCAGCAGTAGGTCCCACGGTCAGCTAGAGTCACGTTCTCTATGGTCAGGGATACATCTCCTCTGTGGAGATTCCCCTTTAGCTGGTATCTGCTGGATTTCTGATACGTCACATTTCTTTCATCAGTTCTGAGCACCAAATTGGCACACTGAGACAAAGGACAGGATCCCCTGCCCCAGCACACAGGCACCAGTGTCCCTGAGGCGGATGGAGCGTAGCTGCAGGGCAGATGGGCATTCTCATCCACCTCCACTAGATATGCAGCTTCTGAAGACCCTGAGTAGAGAGGGAAGGAGAGCAAGACCGTGAGGGAGGTGGGTCCATCTCTGCAGTGACGCTATATAGAAGAGAGGATGCTGCTGGCCAGTAGGGAGGTGATTCACTGCAGTGATTCTCTCCATGAGAGGCCACAGAAGCAGCAGGAAGACCTGTTACAACACCAACTGTGATGGTGCATGTCTGTGGTCCTGGTAATCAGAGGGAGGAGACAGGAGGATACTGAATTAAAGGACAGATTGAATATTGTAGCAAGTTCCTGGCTGGCCTGAGTGATGAGAGAGAGAGAGAGAGAGAGAGAGAGAGAGAGAGAGAGAGATCAATCGATCAAGATCAGGTGTGGTTGACTAGAGCCTCTGTAAGCCCTGTAGTAAGAAGGTTGTGTGTGGCAGGACTGTATGAATCTGAGGTCATCCAGGACCACAGGGAATTGCAGACTCAGTTCCTAGAGTTTCTGGCTTCAGATATTCTGAGACCAGTCCTGTTAACTTGCATTTTTAGTAGTTCCCATTTAACAGTTCCCAAGTGTTATGTCTTAGACCCTCACTTTCAGAACCATGGCCCTTGAGGAGAATTGTGAACCAGTTTTGTGAACATAAAAAGACAGGGTAATGGAAGTTAACAATAAAAAATAAAACAAGCTGGGGAGCAAACAGCCACCTGCCTGGGATCTGGGCTAGTTGTCTTTTCATTAACCAAGGAAGGATAGGTAACCTAACAAAACTCAATGTCTTTCTCTCCCTCTCTCTGTCTCCCTTCCCCTTTCTTTCTCTCCCCACAGTGAATAAAAATCCTTGACAAAACATAAAGCTCCCATACTTGAAACTACTTGTAGATTGTTTTGAGGTTTAAATTAATTCGTTTATGGTAATATATACACATCTAAATAAGCATTCAAAGCACATCAAAGGTACATGAAATCATGGCTCTCTCTCCCAACTCTTTGCAGTCTCCTGCTTCCCCTCCTAGAGCCCAAACCTTTGAAAATGCCCACACAGTCCTGCTCCCACATAGCACTGCAGCTGCAGCCTTGATAACAGTGTGTTCAATCAGGCTCACTACATATAGCATGGAAATCGTTACATTTCTTTACCTAGTCCCCCACTGGCGGACTTTTAGGTTGCTTCCAAACTTGTGCCATTGCAAACATCAGTAGGATCACCCTTGTATCTCTCTCCTGCTCTCTGAGAAGAACCAGTCTCCCAGGGTGAAGACCCAGGCCACACTTACTTGTAAGTAGTGGTAACCACAGCAGCAGGACACGGTTGAAGGAAAGATGTGGAAACATGGGCTCTTGAGAGGGAAAATCAGAGGACAGCTTCATGCAGGCACAGTTCTAGTTCTCCAGTTAGACTGGTACTTCCTCTAACTGCTGTCTACCCCACAATCACATAATGACCACACCCACTGAGGACCACCATGCACCCCAGGGTGTCTAACCTCCAGAGAGTTCTAAGTACCACTAAGTCTAGTCACATCAGAGGAAGCCTCAGCTCTGTGTCATGTCACACCAGACACATCCTGTGGGCATTCTGATGTGTATCACATTCAATTAACAAAGAGGAAACAGTATTTCAGAGAAGGGAGTTAGCCATGGCAAGCAGAGGGAGCCCTCTAATATCACAGATAAAATAGCCTGAGATGGACCATGTGCAAGTTTTGCTGGTCAGCAGAGAACCGCAATACAAACATGTCACTAATGAATTCATGCAGTCATGTCAGTCCATTAGTCAGGCCTGAGGCCAGTATTCTTGAAGCACTCGCCTTTAGCCAGGCACTGAACTAGGAGGAGAACAAAGCAATGGATGGTGTCCTTACCCTCACATTCACAGACAACTTCCATGTCGGTCAGGAGCCAAATTCTGATCCTTTTCTACACAGGTTAGACTATGTCCTATAAGCTTATTAGATCTGAGTTTCTTTGTGTAAAATTTTTCTAAAACAAAGAAATTAGTTGATGTGGCAGCACACATTTGTAAGCCCAGCACTCAGGAGGCTGAGGGAGGATGATTGCCATGAATTTGAGACCAGCTCCTGCTCTATTCTTCTGGCTCTGACCTTCGAACTTTCAAAGTCTTTTATTTAGGAGGTATACAGTTCTTTCTGCAATTCTTCTTGCCCCCATTTGGATAAAAGTGAGTAGACCTCAGTAATCTATTTCATCTCGTGTACACATGGGATCCCCTGTCTGCTCGCCCCATGGTTCTTTGAGAATGAACTGCAAGAAGGTACTGAGTTCTAGTCATGCCATTCATTACCAAGGTAAAACATCAGACCCCAGAGCTCTCAGCCATCAGTGCCTTTCATCTGGATACCTGAAAGCCAAATCTTCTCCACAAGAGGGAAGTGAGCTCAGAGACCAAGTGGTTTCTGAAAATCCAGTGGCTTTCCACAGCCATGCCTTCCTGTGCCACATCACTCCCCTTTATGCCTTAAATGCATTTAATCTAAATCTCTAACTTGTTCTGTGTGTGAACTACCACAGCATCATGCAGTGGGGGTTACTCAAGAGAAATAGTACTTCATGTCCTCATTTACAGACAAGAGCAACTCAAGAAGACTGATGGATCCAAGGGCCTGTGTTTAGTTATTTAGAGTAAGAATAAGTCACCTAAGCTCTAGACTTGTTACACTATAAACTATGTTGCATGAATTTAATGACTTTGGTATGTCTGCACACATATCTAGTAACAACCAACAAATGCTCATATTCAAGTATAATAGGGACTGGATTAAACATGAGGTAGAAGGTCATTTTACTCTTAACATGACCTTGGGGAAGACTCTTAAAAGCATCAGCCTGAAGTCTGTTTTATTGTATTTGCTACCAATCCCTAGAATTGCTACTCAGACCAACCATTTTTGTTGTTGCTGCTGCTGTTGTTTGCCTTTGCTTTGGTCTATTTTCCTTGAGACAGAGCCTCACTACGTAGCCCAGGCTAACCTGGAACTCTCTACGTACCCCAGGCTGGCTTCGAGCTCCTGGTCCTCCTTGTTTTTACCTCCCAAGTACTGGGATTATACAAATGTGCCATCATGTTTAGCTCTGAGACCAGCTTTATAAAACATTAATGATTTATTAATTTATTAAAGTGCACGAAGGGATCTGTAGAGGCCCGCCTCGTCTTCTGTTTGTGAATTGGGTTCTGTTTTTGAATATTTTTCATGCTAGTTTTTTTTTTATTTCTTGGTGTGCTTTTCTAAGGACACATAATCAGCATCATAAACACCTATATTTAACAATCAACAACATGGGTGCAAAAAAAAATCTATAATACAGCTTTTTTTTTTTAATCTTTTTGAGACAGGGTCTCCCTGAAGCCCCAGCTGTCCTGGAACTCACTATGTAGACCAGGCTGGCCTTGAACTCACAGAAATCCTCCTGCCTCTGCCTCCCGAGTGCTGGGATTAAAGGAGCACACCACCACACTCGGCTACAGCTTTTTGTTGGAAATATTTTATACTTTCCTCAGAACAGAAACTGAAATAACCTGTTATACAGTCAGCCACAAATACAGTCCTTGAAGTTTGTCTCCGCACATGACCGTGGCTAGAGCTCTGTCACCACTATGCTTGGTGACTTACCCCTTATTTTAAAAAATTAAGTATTTTAAGTGATATTAAGTCCATGTTTTGGTGTGTAATCGTTTTTATTCATGGGCGGGGGGGATAGGCACTGTGCCATGGCATTTGTGTGTAGGTCACAGGACAACTTGAAAGACTCAGTTCTCTCCTTCCACTATGTAGGTCCCGGAGATCAAACTCAGTCTTGGTGGTAGGCACCTTTATCTGCTGAGCCATTTAGCAAGTCCTAGTCTATTTTCTGTTATAATGAAATACCTGAGACTATGTAACATATGAAGAAAAGCAGTTTATCTAGCTCAGTTCTAGAGGTTCAAAGTCATGGCATCAGTGCTGGCTGAGCTCTGGAGGACTTTATGGGGATTGGCAGCACAAAGGTGGGAAAGTATACAAGAGGACAGATCATATGGTCAGGCAGGAAGTCAGAGTCAGAGAAAGGGACAGCCTTGCTCTTTATGTGACAACCCTCTTTCAAGAACTAACTCAGGTTTCCACAAGAACTTCCTCCAATCCCTTTGAGAGTAATGTCTTCCCTAAGATCTGCTCAACTTCCCCTCGGCCTCCCCTCTTAAAGATTCCACTGGAGAACAAACTGCACCCAAACCAGGTACGTGTTCAAATGGATAAAAAAGTAAATATGAAAAGCTTACCCAGCAGCCCTGTTCCCACACTTCCATGTCTACCCCATTCTTCCCACCTGCTCTTTAGGTTCCTACTTTCATAAGTCTCTGGAAACATAAAGAAATGAACTATATAGTGTTACTTCATTTTTCTTTTTAAATTTTTGTTTATTATTAGTATGTGTGTATGTGGGTGTGTGTGCCATAGTGTGTGTGTGTGGAGGTCAGAGGATAACTTTTGAAAGTCAGTTTTCTCCTTCCCTCATGGTTTCCAGGGACTGAGCTCAGGTCATCAGGCCTGCAGGAACAGTACTTTTAACAGCCAAACCATCTCACTGGCCTTTTACCCCTTTGCTTATTTGGACAAAATAGTAAACCACACATACTTTTTATACCCTTCTTTTATACCTTTCTTTTTATTTGCTAAAGTAATTTAAAGGCTATTATTGGCGTGTTACTTTACCCTCTGAGCCTTCAGTGTGTTTCCTTCTTTGAAAAAAAAAAAAAAGGAAGACCGGGTATCGTGTGGCGCATACCTTTAATCCCAGCACTCAGGAGGCAGAGGCAGGTGAATCTCTGTGAGTTCAAGGCCAGCCTGGTCCACATAGTGAGTTCCAGGACCGCTGGGGCTACAGGGAGACCCTGTTTCAAAATGATGAAAAAAAAAAAAAAGGAAATTCTGCTGTATAATCGTGACACCACTAACACACAAAATAAATAAAATTAGTGATGATTTTCTATACCTCACAGCTTAGTACATAATTGAATTCCACTAGCTGTAAAATATCTTTTATTTGTCTCAACAAGGACCCAGACAAGGTCCCCACATTGTAGCTGGTGATACTCAGAATTTCTTATTCTATGACCGTCTCTTTGTTCCCTAGTCACCAGTTGCTTATGTAAAGCAGTTCTGTGGAACGCACTACACTCTGGCTTTGTCTGTTTCCTTGTGTGGATATTTACTTGGTTCCTGTTTTCACTGTATTTCCTGCAAGTGAAATTTAGCTCTAGAAGTCTGGTTAGCTTCAGGTTTGATTCCGCCCCCAAATGCTTCACCAACTGGGGTGATAGCATGCACCTTTTTTTTTTCCCTTGGTCTTTTTGAGACAGGGTTTCCCTGTAGCCCCAGCTGGCCTGGAACTCATTATGCAGACCAAGTGCAGGTACTAAAGGTGTGCACCACAACACCTGGCGATAGTATACACCTTTAATCCCAGCACATGTGAGGCAGTGGCAGGCAGACCTGTACCAATTCAAGGTTTGCCTGTCTAGACAGCAAGTTTCAGGTCGGCCAGTGCTGTGTAGTGAGACCCGGTCTTTTAAAAAAAAAGAATAAGGGGGAGTTGGAGAGATGGCTCAGTGGTTAAGAGTACTTGCTGCTCTTACAGAGGACCTGAGTTTGGTTCCCAGCACCTACATGGCAGTTGAGAACCATCTCTAACTCCAGTTCCAGGGGATCCAATGCCCACCTCTGACATCCTCGGCATTGCATGCATATAGTGCTCTTATATACATGCAGGCAAAACACTCATACACATAAAATAAAAATCATTTCTTTCGTTTCACAGCTAGTGCTCTGTACTCAGTATTCTAACACAATTGCTTGATCGCTACACATTTAGAGATGACAAACTGGTCGTGCCTATGACTTTCACTTTTAACGTTAGGTTTTGAGAACCTTTCCACTCTAGTTCTATGTTCTCATCCTTTGTGACAGTCACATGGATTCCAGTGGATGAAAATATTAGGTGAAAATAAATTGGGCATGGTAGCTCATGCTTATAATCCCAACACTCAGGAAGTTGAGGCAGAAGGACTACCATGAGTTCAGGCTAGCCTGTGCTACGCAGTGAAGTCCAAGTGAGGCTGAGATATTAAATGAGATCCTGCCTCAAAAAAAAAAAAACAAAAAAACAGAGGGCAAGGTGGGGGGAGTTGAAGGGATGTAACTCAGTTGATAGAGTACTTGCCTACTTCATCCCTGGCATCACATAAACAACATGTGGGGGCTTATAACTGTACAACAGCAGTCCCAGAATCCAGGAGGTAGAGGCAAAAGGATCAGAAGTTCAAGGTCACCTTCTACTACATAGGCCACTTGAACTACATGATTCTTTAATTATATGCAATGG